ACCTTCGGGTTTCATTCTAACCTTCGGGTTCTATTTTAAACCTTCGGGTTTCATTCTAACCTTCGGGTTCTATTTTAAACCTTCGGGTTTCATTCTAACCTTCGGGTTCTATTTTAACGGCATTGTCGTTTCAAGACCGTCTCTCGGTCTCAAATTAACGGCATCGTCGTTTCAAGCCGTCTCTCGGCCTCAAACGAACGACATTAGTAACAGCATCTCGACATCTTAACGTCTCAAGATTGCTGTTATGGCTCCTTCAGAGAAGATTCCCAAACCACCTTTGCCCCTCAATGATCAAAGTGACTGGGCAGGGTGGTCCACCATTGTCACCAATGCCTTGCGTGGCGCTGGTTTGCTTGATCATCTCACCAGTACGGGACCAGTTCCACCGTCCATCAGCACTGTTGCTTCATCCAGTACTATTGCCTCTGGCAGTGGTGATGTCGATCTTCAGACTGCTCGTGCTCTCTATGTCAAGGAGAGTTCAGAGTGGCAATTGCAGGAATTTCGTGTTATGGATTATCTCACTCGCTGTGTTGGCTCTGGTCTCACTGTCGAGATTGGCTCGCTTCCCTCTGCTCAGGCCATGTGGACTCGTCTCACTGAGCGTTTCACTGAGTGCTCGGGTGCACGGGAGGCATATCTTCTGCAACGCATTTCTCTACAACGCAAAGGTAGTTCATCTCTGCAGTCCCATTTTGGACAAATGCAAGCTTTTTGGACAGAGTTACGCTCCATGCTTCCTGGACGTAATTCCACATATGAAGACTGGCTAGCCTGGTACGAACGGCATGAGGTGCATCAATTGTTTCAGTCCCTTCCTGAATATTCAACTATGGCTGATCAACTACTTCACCAGCCTCAATTTCCGACTTTGGCCTCAGTTATGGGAGCTCTCACTGCTTATGAGACCCGGCAGCAGACAGCACGACTCAATTTGTCAACAGACACTCCTACCTCTTCACTCGAGACTGTTTTGTCTGTACCTGTCACTGCTCCTGTTATGAATTATACTTCTCCACAGGCTCCCTCTCCACAGGCTCGATCTAAGCTCTCTTGCAAATATTGTAAGAAGGAAGGACACCGCATTGAGACATGCTTCAAGCTTCATCCTGAGTTACGTTCCTCAGGTACTGGACGTGGTCGGCGACCCCCTCAGTCTCAACCCTCTCGTACACCAGGATTGTTGGCCAATGCTATACCTTCTACTACTTCAGACTCTACTATTCAAGCTATTGAAAGTCTTCGCCGTCAACTTGATGCTTTTCAACATATCACCTCTACATCCGCCGCACAACTCTCTGGTATGCATTTTGCTGGTTCTTCAGCTAATCCTTCAGTCTCTGGTATGAATGATCTCTGGATTTTTGACTCTGGTTGTTCCTTTCATATGACTTGTAATGCCTCACTTTTATCCTCTGTCTTTACTTCATCCTCTCTTCCTCCTATCTACACAGCTGCTGGACAACCATTGTCCATTACTCAGTATGGCTCTATTACCCCACAAAATGATCCATCTGGTCGTCTAACACTTGGTCCCGTCTATGTGGCTCCACAATTGTGCTTGAATTTAATTTCTATTAGCTCTTTATGCATGGCGGGCCTGTTTGTCTCATTTTCTTCTGATACTTGTATTGTGCAGGATCCACAGACGGGCAAGACGGTTGGGGCGGGTCGTAGGAGGCACAAACTGTATTTTCTGGAATATCTTCACCTTCCAGAGTCCATACGTCCACGTTCTCTTGTTGCTTCTCTTTGTTCGTCAAAACCCTCTACCTCGCTTCCTGCCAATTTATGGCATAGACGACTTGGTCATGTGTGTAATAAAAGGCTGGAGAGTCTTATTCAGTCTGGAGTACTTGGTCCTGTATCATCTAGTTCTAGTATTGAGTCATGTGCTGGTTGCAAATTGGCTAAATTCACTGCTTTACCATTTAAAATGAGTACATCTGTATCCACTTCCTTATTTGATTTAGTACATTCTGATATTTGGGGGCCAGCTCCTTTGCCTTCTTCATCTGGCTACTTATATTATGTTAGTTTTATCGACGATTTCTCTCGTTTTACATGGGTTTACCTACTTAAGAATCGCTCTGACGTACTTACTGCTTATCAAGCCTTCACTGCTATGATTTTCACTCAATGGCAATCTCGTATTAAAGTTTTTCGTTCTGATTGTGCCAAAGAGTACCTATCCTCTGCCATGCGCTCTATCATGTCCTCTCATGGGACTATCTTTCAACAGTCATGTCCCTACACTCATGAGCAAAATGGTGTTGCTGAACGCAAACATCGTCATATCCTCGATACTGCCCGATCAATGCTCATTTCTTACTCTGTTCCTCGTCGTTTCTGGGCTGAGGCTATTCTCACCGCGACTCATGCCATTAATATCACTCCATCTAGCTCTCTTTCCGGTGCTACTCCTTATAGTCGTGTTTATACTCATCCTCCCCGTTATGATCTAGTTCGCGTTTTTGGTTGTCGATGTTTTGTTTTTCTGCCATCTCACGAACGTGATAAATTGTCTCCCAGAGCAGTTTCTTGTGTTTATTTAGGAATTAGTTCAGAACATCGAGGTTATCGTTGTTATGATCCCGCAACTCGTCGAGTTCATATATCTCGTCATGTTCAGTTCGAAGAGGATTCTCCATATTATTCTACTTCTGATGACTTTAATTTCCTCCACTCTACCGATCATGCTTCCCCGTCCACTGCATCACCCACTTCTTCACCTCAATTTTCCTTTCGAGATCTCCCTGACATCTCTCCCTCTCCTTCTGTTGACTCTTCCTCACCTGAGTCTTCTCTTACACCATCTAATCCATATCCTGTGGACACAACTCTCACTCCAGAAAATACTGTTGATCTTCATGCACCTGCGCCAGCATCTCCCCCGCCTGAGGTTCCTCTTGCTCTTCGTCGAGGCAAACGCCCACATGTCATGCCTGCCCGGTATGCTTCTGTTACTTCTTATTCACCTATCTTTCATAACTTTCTTGCTGCCATTCATACTATTGTTGAGCCAAAGTCCTTCCAAGAGGCAGTTCAAATTCCAGAGTGGCGACAAGCTATGGCTGAGGAATTTCAAGCATTTCAGCAAACTCATACCTGGGATATTGTTCCCTGTCCTCCTGGGATCTCTCTTGTTGGCAGTAAATGGGTTTATAAGGTCAAGTTTCGTCCTGATGGCACCATTGAACGTCGAAAAGCTCGTTTAGTGGCTAGAGGTTTTACTCAGCAACAAGGTATTGATTATGAGGAGACCTTTGCTCCTGTTGCTCAGATGCCCACTGTGCGTACTCTCCTTGCGGTCGCTGCTGCTCATCGTTGGCCCTTATACCAGATGGATGTCAAAAATGCTTTTCTTCATGGCTCTTTATCAGAGACCGTATATATGCAACCGCCTCCAGGGTCAAATATTCCTCCGGGACATGTATGTCTCCTTCGTCGTGCTGTTTATGGTCTCAAACAGGCACCCCGCGCTTGGTTTGAGTGTTTTCGCGATGTTGTGCTCAAAGCGGGCTTTATAGAAAGTCATCAAGATGCTTCTCTGTTTGTTCGCACTACATCGCGTGGCAGGGTTTTATTACTCATCTATGTAGATGATATGATCATTACAGGTGATGATATGACAGGTATACAATACGCAAAATCTCAGTTGCAACAACAGTTCCACATGAAGGATCTTGGATCTCTTCGGTATTTCCTTGGTCTAGAAATTTCTCAAGGCCCGCGGGGTGTATTACTGTCTCAACAGAAGTATCTCTCAGATATTCTAAATCAAGCTGAGTTAACTGATAATACAACTGTCGATACTCCACTCCAGCAGAATGTCAAACTTTGCTCTACTGACGGTGAGCCTCTATCTGATCCTACCCGATATCGACATCTTGTTGGTCAGTTGGTCTATTTGTGCATCTCTCGACCAGATATCTCTCATGCTGTTGGTATTGTCAGTCAATTTGTTAGTGCCCCACGTTCTGTACACTATGCTGTCTTATTACGGATTCTTCGGTACCTCCGGGGTACTAGCACTCGCTCACTTTTGTTTCCTGCTACATCTAAGTTAGAGCTTTGTGCATATTCTGATGCTGATTGGGCTGGTGATCCAACTACCAGAAAGTCTACCACAGGTTATTGTATATTTCTTGGTGATTCCCTTATTTCCTGGCGAAGTAAGAAACAAGATGTTATTGCTCTTTCCAGTACTGAGGCAGAGTATCGTGCAATGTCCACAACAGCTAAAGAGATTATTCATCTTCGTCGCCTTCTCAGTGATTTCGGTATTTCTGTTACGACTCCTACTCCTCTCTACTGTGATAATAAGAGTGCCATCCAGATTACTAATAATCCAGTATTTCATGAAAGGACCAAACATATTGAGATCGACGCTCATTTTGTCCGTCACCAAGTTATCAAGGACAAGACAATTCTACTTCCTCATGTTTCATCCGCTGACGAGCTTGCAGATTTCTTCACAAAGGCCTTACCTGTTCATCGGTTCCAGTTTCTTGTACGCAAACTCACTTTGTTTGATCCAACATGAGTTTGAAGGGGGCTGTTGATAATAGTGTATTGTAGTGGGTTTTAGTCCCACATTGCTTGGGAGAACAAACCTCACACTCCTCTACTTGTATAAATATATGTGCACACTCAATATTCAATTCAAGGGAAATTTACCCAAGATTCTCTCTCTCTCTCTTACTTTAACAAGTGGGAAATGAGTTTCGCACGGGGCCAAGAGACCAAATAATGGGTTGGATTCTTTAGCAAAGCGCAGGAACATGGATGCGCTCGGCTATCTAGTATGGCAAGTAGGATGAGTCTCACTACTAACTAATCCTTCCATTGCTCATTTAGTTAAATAAGTTTGTTGAGGATCGACGTCGTCACAAGTTTGGCTCATAAGCCTAGCCAATCAGCCCGTTCTTCTTCTCTTGTGCACCACCAACAACACAAAAGGGGGAAAGCAAGAATTTCACTGTCTCTCCACTCACCTCACAAAGGGTGAAAGGCTGAAAGCACAAAGCTTTGGAAGAGAGAGGATGGATCGCACACAGCAGAGGAGAGCACAAAGCTCAGGGTCTTCTTCACCGTCGCTCTCGATCTCTTCCCCAGCTACTACCATCCCTTCGACCTAAATAGAGAAGGGGGCAGCCAACACGGGAGAGAAACCTAGGGTTTCGAATGGTAGGAGCCGACCTACAGGGATGGGAGATGGGACTCATAACGACTGCAGAGCAGGACAAAGGAATGAGAAGGGACTGCCGACAGAGGGATGGGTACCATCGGTTAGATGGTGAGAGAAACCTAGGGTTTCGAATGGTAGGAGCCGACCTACATGGATGGGAGATGGGACTCATAACGACTGCAGAGCAGGACAAAGGAATGAGAAGGGACTGCCGACAGAGGGATGAGTACCATCGGTTAGATGGTGAAAGATTTAGAGATGGGCTAGGGCACATATGAAGGGGAACTAGGACTTTTGGTAACGGGTCAGATTATGGGCCAACAAAATAGCAACAAAGTTGTCACCTCATTTTTTTTCATTGAAATTATTATTGATGTGTCCTTTTATTTTTTGATATTATTGAAGTGAATTATCATCTTTCTCAATTATAGTATAGGTAATACAATTTACAGGCTTAGTTCCAACAATTCATGAATACTTTGCTTTGAAAGCAATTAAGAAGAGTATCACGATGTGATTACGTATCAATGCATAAGTTTTTTTTGAATTAAACAAAGTTCATTATTCTCTTCATGCTTTCTCTTCCCATTGTCCTCTCTTTCACATCACAAATATAATGCCAAATATTGCCAACCTTCCTCGCTAGGACAATATTCGTTTCTTTTCTTTGTCCTCTTTATAGAAAAATTACAGAAATATAATTAAGCTTCTCTAATCTCCACTGTTGACCCTCTAACCAATAAATTTGAAAGAATACATGACTTTAGTTTCTTAATATTGAAGACAAATGATACACTTCGAAGTGTCAAGTGTTGTCTATATATCATTTTGAGCTTTTATGAACTGTAGTCTTGCGTGGCAACATCTTTTCTATTGGAACGAAGCCTTCGCTGAAAGCAACGTTCGCTTTTGTTTTTTCCCCCTCCTCGAGAAATAAATAATTTGCCAAAGGAAATTGAAGCGTAAAGAAAAATGCCCTAATGGTTTCATCGTATGTGTGTACGTAAGCTACCGTCATTTTTTGTTTTGGTTTGTAGCAAGCAACAAATTATGGAAATTGCCACAAACAAATCCAATCACAAAGCTTTTGGATCTGCGATGAATCCTATAAAAATTTCTCCCGCCCCGCCCCCGCCCCCCGTTCGTTCATCCAATCAGGGGATCAATTTTGTATCTGTAGGGAATTTTTAGATCTCGCAAAAACCCTAAAAATTTATCAAACGCAGCAAATAAAATCACACAAGATTTAACGTGAAAACCCTCAACAGGAGAAAACCACGGGATCAAAATCAATTCACTATAACCTTCAAATTATAATCTTTTGCACGAACAAAGACTGTCAAACTCTCTCTCACTCTTTCTCTCTACACTTCTTCTTCTTCTTTTTCCTCTAACAATAGAAGGATATATATAGAGAAACCAAAAACATATCTCTAGCCTAACTTCCTAATTAGAATAAGATTCAAACTCCCAATCATGATGGAACCCAAACTCCTAATCATGATAGATCCCTAACCTTATCTAATTCTCATGAAGTTATACAAAGACAAACTCCTAATCATGATAGATCCCTAACCTTATCTAATTCTCATGAAGTTATACAAAGAATTAAAAACTTTATCCTAACTTGGAGTTTGAGTAGATACCCAACAGTATCAAACCCCTATATTGAGATGATTTGCAACGCAATAAAATAAAATCTAATCTAATCATTGTTTTTGAGGAAAAACAATCTCAAAAACGTATGGATTTGACAAGTTTCAACAATCAATGTGACTGGCAGTGTTCCTATCTCCAATATTTTAATTTAGATGATGTTTATTTTGAAGTGGTTGTTGTGCGCGGAAGTCACCAATCGTTGTGTTTCGAGGAACCAAACCAAACGTCGAGAGAGAAAGCCAAACAATCCAAAGTAACGACACAAACACAAACAAACGAATTTAACATTGTTCGGCAAGTTGCCTACGTCCACGGGGTAAGAAAGGGATGAGTTTTCACTAATAGAAAAGAATAGTACAAATAGAGATTACAAATCCACAAACTGATCTCTCTCACACAAAGCTCTCAATCTCTCAAACAAAACTCTAACCAATATCTCCATAGAAGACTCTTTTCGGTGCTCAAAACAACCCCCTTGACTGCTCCAAAGAAACCCTAAAACGTGTGTTGGTATTTATATCAAACATCAATCCCAAATAGAACAGAAAACCGAAATCAGAGTCTCCAGAGCAAATAAACAATTCAAAGCTCGCGGTCGACCGGCCAGAAAGACAGAAACCAATAAACAATTACAGGGTTTGGCAGTCGACCGCTGAATTCGTCGCGATCGACCGGCCAAAGATCCAGTACCAAGTCGTGCACGTTGCCGGTCGACCGCGCCAAAGCTCGCGATCGAACGAAGAGCACCCACGTGTCTGTCAGCTCCAAAAATTCTGTTCTTCTCCAATTTCTTCGTCAAATCTACAGTGACATCATTTTCAAATTCGAACAATTCAAAACAATAGTCTACTTGTTCTATTAGATAATATTTTATGCAACATGAACACTTAAAATAGCATCAAATTAAGTAAGACACTCATTAATTACAGGACTGACATGCTAAAGGTAGCGTGTCAATTTCAGTGATGTCAGTGATAAAGCTCTTATCTAAGTTGTCCTACAAGCTAACTAGAGTCTCGGGAGCAAAGATTAAAGGATGGTTTAGTTGTGGATTAAGGATAATTATCTGCTAGCTCAAGTCCATGTGCACTTCTCATTTGGAGCTTTTGGGTCCCATGTGATGATTTTTGGATTTATTTTTAGGTTAAGATTTGGGACCCTCTAGGAGTGTATAAATATTGTAGGTCAAAGAGGTTGTTGTAAACAATATCCCAATAAATAAATAAATAATATAAAAACAAAATCAACTAGTTATTAGAAAACAGAAAGGCAATGTACGGGTTAGTTACCTTGTCGTAGTGGAATTAATAAAAACAGCAAACAAAGAGGGGTTTTTTTGGGGTACTTATATAGCTATATACTTTGCGAAATATTAACATAAACTTTTATTGATAAATTTTTTTCATGCATAGTTTTTTTAGCTGATGGTGCACAATAACTAATAATAATAATAATAATAATAATAATAATAATAGATCACGCATGATTTTTTTAACCAAAAGATATATTGGCGCAATAACTCAAAAGGGTTCTTTTTTCCTAGAAACCACCTTTAAAATAGGGTAAGTATACATAAATTATATTTTATTTCCAATTTATATATAAATTATTTTTAAAGTGAGTTTTTGTTTTAATCTCACTTTGCAATCAAATTATTCACTAAAAACCCAAAATATTCCTAAAAACTCACATGCAACACGCGACTCACTTTGTTAATGTTTAAGTCTAGTTATGATACAAGTCATTTATCTTTAATGTGAAATTTTGACTAGAATGTAATTGATTTGAATGAAACCCCACTTTTAAAAAAGATTTACGTGTAATTAAAAAAAAGAAGGTTTTTAATAACAATTTTATTTTAAGGTTGTTTCCGGATAACACGAACTTATGCAAAATGCAAGGCAAAGAGTGCAAACTTCGTAATGATTTTAGGATATATTTGCCAATATCCAATACAGAATCACTAAACCGCTTTATTCCCATAACAACCCTACAAGTTTCTTCCGTTGTACTTGGTTGCCTTAGCCCCGTGGATATTTTGGGAACTTAAAAATGAAAAAACAAAACTACAAGCGCCACTACATGCCCAAAATACCCCTCATGGAAGTTGAGCAATTGCCTTCGTCGCGGTGGCATTAGGTGGTATTTTCGTCAAAAGTCAACTTTTTAAAGATATAATATGAATAATAATTAGGGGCATTTGCAACTACCACGGCCTTCGTAAAGGGATTGGGATCCTCTCCTCATCAATAGTGTTTCCTAATATCTCCTCATGTATCTTCACCATTCATTTTGTGGGTAAGTACAAAAGCAAAGGTGGGTCCCATAAAATGAATGGTGGAGATGCATGAGAAGATATTAGGAAACACTATTGATGAGGAGAGGATCCCAATCCTTCGTAAAGGTCCTAAAGTACTAGCGCCATCGTATCAGGAATCAACAAAAGAGGTTGATGATACAGATGATGGGTTAGTTTGTTTATCGTACCAAATTTCTTGGTAATTACATAGATTCCCTCAAATCATTCAAATTACAACTAGGTTCCCCAAAATTTATCACAACTCATTTCAGAGTTAGTGCCATGTATCACTGAAATTACTATTAGATCCTGTAGTTCTCATAAGTTGTCGCAAATTAGTTTTTACAATCAAGAACGTTAGTAGTAAAGTCTAAGAATTCAAGAGCAATCAAGAGCAGTAGTGAGTAAAATACAAAGAGGAGCAGCAGTATGAAGCACACGTCTAATCTTATTTTGGTTTTCAGGGTTCCTTTGCCCTTTAGGTCTGTTTTTTTGGTGAAAAATGTTCTGTTAGTTCAGTTGTATTTTGGTGCTAGACATGTACTTCTTTCTTCTTTTGCCGAGTTTCGTTTTATTTGTTTCCTCCCATTTTCGAAACACTTTCCGTCATGTATTCTCTTGTTTCTTTGAGTTCTTAATGAAACTAAGTGAAGAAGTGGCGAGAGAAGCAGCATGAAGTTCAGGAGAATCGGCCAGGCAGACTGGCGGTCGACTGCGAGTCAGCGGCGGTCGACCGCGAACGTGCACAGAAGGGCAGTAGGATTCGAAGCTGAAGGCGGTCGACCGCGCGTACCCTGTAGGTGATTTTTGGTCTCAGGATGAGATTTGGTTGACCGCCGTGGTCGATCGCGCCATGACTATAATCGATTCTGCTCTCGGGTTTTTGGTTCGATCGACCGCGATATCTATGCGGTCGACCGCAGACTGTTTTTGGGCTGGGCTTTGATTTTTAACCCGGTTTGTTTCTGAGTTGATATATAACAATAATTGTAATTAGTTAGTGTTAAGCAAGGACGATTTTGAGCAGTCTTTTGGAAAGAATTGCTGCATCCAATTGTGGGAGATTTGTGAGAGATCTAGAGCTTTGTTTTAGGGTTTGATCGGTGAGATTTATAACTCTATTTGTATTCTCTTGATTTATAATAGTAAGAACTCCCCCCTCCTTGCCCCGTGGACGTAGGCAACTTGCCGAACCACGTAAATAGTTTGTTCTTGCTGTGATTGTGATTTGCTTAGTAGTTGTGATTTATCTCGAGTTATTGTTCGTGTCGCTTCGAGAACTTCCGCCGCGCACAACAAGTTTCTCTAGACTCGTCATATTTTCTATAAATAAAAAAAGCAAAACATAAGATTTGGAAAACTTAATAGGAATTTTAACAATTTGAGGGAGTAGCATTGCAAAATGGATACTAGTATACATAGTGTGCATTTAGTACAGTTTCAACAGCCTTCTCCTCTGGTGCTGTGGTGCACAGCCTACGTCAACCTTAATTAATTACCTTATCCTGACAGGGTCTTATGTTTAAATTTTCCCTTTTGAACCCTAAACCTCTGCTAATTCAATATCATTTACTTTTAATGAAGTAGGTTCATCTCCATATTCTAATCGAGTTCCCATAATTAGCTGGGGTCAAGTCTAGTTTTAGATTCCCATATTGCCCCTACGGTTGAGCACTTTGGTCCCCATTTTTCAAATAATGAAACAGGACTACTAAAATTAGGTGCTTTGATATTTTTTAATTAATGTGGGAACTGATCCAATCTAAGTAAAAGGTAGCTTAACAAAAAATGAGATCCTTGCCTCTAACCACAAGTCACTCCTTGGGTTTGTTTGTTTGTTTGTATATTTCTCATCTAAAGAGGATACTTGGGCCTCTTTGGGGTGAATTCTTAAGAATAGAATTTATTTCATTTATTACCTCTTTTTTTTTATTGGTTTGCTCATAAAAACTTTACCTTATTAAACTTTGTACTAGATTATGACATTCCTACTCATGGAATAAATAGTTGGAGTTGGTAATAGTCGCTGGTGTCATGTTGAATGCATTTCTAGGAGGGTAGATGGTGACTTGTCCCAAATTTATTTATTTTTTCTTTTCCTCCTCACATTAATTTAACAACTATTTGCAAAGCTAAACACCAATACCAAACAGAAAATTTGATTTTTTTTTTTGGGGGATTTGCACATGTATATTTCTCCTAAAGTTTTGTTAAGTGTGTGCATTGTGCAACGGAGCAATTGTGGGTCTTGTATAATCTTAATATACAACAAGGTAGATAACTAATATAAAATATTTTTCTTAATCTCACTAAGAACCTGTTAATGTGTTGCATCACGAGGCATGGACTTTGAGCCTACCTATCCAAACTGTTTGACTCTGACCACTACGCACCAACCTAAAAATAGCCCATAATTCCATTAAAAAAAAGGGGGGAAACCCCCATAATTCATCTAAACAAGTTACAAACAAGATTTGTTACTTGAATAAATATTTAAGCTTATCCCCTAAGCTCCCTAGATAATTAGGGAGGTGCTACAGTCACACCCCCAATTACACTCCTCTCGTTACAGTGCACTGGGGGCCACATGGGAATTTTAATGCACTGGGCTCACATGAGAATTTTTTAAAATTCTTATGTGGGCCCCAGTGCACTGTAGCGAGAGAGAGAGAGGAGTATGGTTAGAGGTGTGGTTAGTGGGTGTGTCTCTAGCATTTTCCAGATAATTATACCCACTTGTAAAGTTTGAGCAGCGGAGATTCTAATGCAATTATCTTCAAGATCCGTGCAACTCTTGCCGCCTAAAATCTTCTGTCTTGTAGGACGACAAAACAGCGATACACAGAACTGAAAAAGATCTCCCTTTCACATATTTTTAACGTTACCCTTTAAATCTTACAAATCCATCACAAAATGACTATTTGTATACTAGTTTTTTTTTTTGAACTGATATTTGTATACTAGCTTATCCCAATTAATGCTACAAATCCCATCTTGGTGGGAGAAAATGTGTTTGAATCTTATCGGAACATCTCGCATGATGTAAACATTCTTAATTGTTGATGTATTAAATAGAGAGGTAATCTGGATATTTCCTTACCTCTCATGCGGAACAAAATCCTTCATGTGGTGTGAGGCTCTGATAGGATCTTAACTGGAAGAAAGTTAGGCAAAATTGACATTACGTCCGATATATAAAATCATTATCTTTAAACAATGATATTTACAAAGTTTTCGGCTAATATATGTTTTGGAGAAATAATATAATCTAGCCTGATATAAGAATTGTGAGATTTGAACCGTTCACCTAAAGAACAGAGAAAATTTTCTAATTGTTCTCTTTATGGTTCAGAACACCCCAACTCACATAAGATTTATTCTGATAAGATTTATATTACATGCTTTGATTATAAAAACTAGCCAATTATAACCTTCGTCGTTACAAGCAAGTATTTACCGACCACATTGGGTTCCTAGTCTCATGCTAATGCGGCGATTCTCAGTTCATTGAATTTATGTCATGCACAAAGTCTCAGGGATTAGAGTGTAAAAATCCAAGGGGTTTTAAAATAAGAAATTAAAAGAGGAGGGAAGAAGCAAAAAGTCTCAGGGTGACGAATCAGCAGTTGGCTTCCCCCCATTATTTTCTCCTTCCTTTCTCTCTCCTTCAACAACTCTTCAACAACTGCAGATAAAAAAATAAATAAAAATCTCACTCCAAAAATAAAAAAATAAAAAAATGAGGAAAATAAAATATTCCCTCTTTATTATTTATTCAATCGCCTTTCAGTTTCATTTCCCCCCTGCATTCTCCTTCTCTCATGCTCGCTCGAGCTCAAACGAAGAAAGCTCACATTTTTGCCGAAACAGAGTCCGAGATCGACGGCGATGGGCTCTCAGCGGCGGCGCCGCCCAACGGCGATCTCCGCCGCCTGCTTCGTCCTCTTCGTCTTCATCTTTCTCCTCGGGTTGCTCGCTCCACCGCTCGTCGACCACCCTGCTTTCCTCCGCCGCCCTCATCGCCGCCTCCGGCGATCTCAGTATTTGGTGCTGATCACTAAAGCTCCATTCTTTGATTTCTTAGCTACCCATTACATTTTTTTAGATTTTTTGGATTAATTTTTTTGTGGTTATTTTTGTGTTTAATTAGCTAAAGAACACTGTTGAGCTCCAGAAGAATTTCGTGCTCGATGAAAGCTTCCAAGTGCCGGTACGTTCTCTTATGGTTTTTTTATTTTAAACCCATTTTTTCTTATTTAATTTTAAACCCAAAATCTGCTTTTTTGCTATAAATCTAGTAAATTGTTGTAATTCAATCTAAACTGCTGTAGTATTTGTTAAACTACTACGATATTAGTTAAAATGCTATATATCGAATCTGGTAAAATTGGATATTTTGGGTGTGGAAGAAATTTTCTAAATAAACCCATTCATACTTTTTTTTCTAAAAATAGACCTCCTTGAGTTTTATTTACAAAAATAGACCCATTTTATCTTAATCCGGTTCCTAAATAGTCGGGTTGTCAACCCGACTATTTAGTGCATAGAATGTTAGGGTTTAGGGTTATAATTAGGGGTTTACAACCTCCTAAATAGTCGGGGTTCCTAAATAGTCGGGGTTGGCAACCCCGACTTTTTAGGAACCGGATTAAGATAAAATGGATCTATTTTTGTAAATAAAACTCAAATGGGTCTATTTTAAGGAAAAGAAAAAGTATGAATGAGTTTATTTAGAAAATTTCTTCTTTGGGTGTATGAATGATTTTGGACGTGAGTTGGTTTAAAAATAATTCAGGATAAAAGAATGGGTTTTAAATAAGTTTTTTGAACCAATTATAATGAATATTTTCTTCTCCTTCCTTTTTTTTTTGGATTTTAGAGTGGGGGAGTGATCGGAGGCGATGATCTCTGGGGTTCAAAGATTGCGACAAACTTCTATGGATGCAGCAATGCCAGCATAGAGTTCAAAAGTGGGTTCTTGATTTATATATTTGTTGGTTCTTTGATTTTTTTTAGTTTGATTCTGTAAATTTTCGAGATTAGAAGATGTTTTTTGGTCTGAAAATGAATTTTACTCTGTGTTTTATGGCAGAGGCTGAAGAAATCACTCAGCCTGATCGTTACTTGATGATCGCCACAAGTGGAGGATTGAATCAACAGAGAACAGGGGTATGATTATTTTTAACCCCTTTCTTTGAGAGAGAGATATATTTTTAGAAGTCTGAGGATTGACGAGATAGTAGCTTAGATTAGTTTGCAGCTTATTAATTATCTTTTCACTTTCCCCTCTTTTATCTATGATTCGAGTTTTGTCTTAGCTCTTAATCTCCTTTATCTTCGTTCGTAGTTATTGAATATTGTAGCTTATTTATTAGGGTAAATTACACTCAACCCCCATGATCTTTCAGTGTTTTTCCCCATGAACTTTTTCAGTGTTTTGTAGTAAACCACCGTGAACTTTCAAAATCACACTAAACCCTGATAAAGTTAGCAGAAAAACCCCATGAACTTTCAAAATGCCTTTTTATTTTGTTTTTCGGTTCTAATTAATGGGGTTATCTACAAAACTCAGAAAGTTCATAGGGGTTTTCCGCAATTCTAAAAAGTTCATGGGGATTTAGTGTGATTTTGAGAGTTCATAGGGGTTTACTGCAAAACACTAGAAGTTCATGGGGTTTAGTATAGTTTACCCTATTTTTATAGTTGCCAGAATTAGTATGTTTAACCGCGAGGTTAACTTTTTTCATAATATCTACTTCATTGTGATTCATCATCTCCATTTATGAATTAGTCTTCATTCTGTATCGAAAGCAAGGGGGAAAAATATTTTTTTTTCCATAACATTATTATTCAATCTCATGGTTCATCTAAGAGATAATCTAATGAATGCATTTGTTAGAGGTGGTGTTGGTGAGGTGCAGTTCTTTGAACATATAGAAATGAATTGTCAAAATCAAAGGTTCTGTTTTTGCCAAATTATAGCTCAGTATCTAGTCAACAACAATTTGAAAACAACTAGACATGTACAGGAAAAATATTGACAGTCTCTCCTTATTTTATCATCACTATGACACATTCATTGAAGTATTTAACGTAATGGATAATTCTGTCATTGTTTATCTCAGGATATAATCTATTCATGTCTTTTCATAAGCTACTGATGAAGTATTTTTCACATTCTTCAGATAACAGATGCTGTTGTTGCAGCTCGCATATTGAACGCAACCCTCGTTGTTCCAACACTCGACCAAAAATCTTTCTGGAAGGATGTCAGGTTATCTTCAATTCTGAACTATCCAAGTTTGTGTTTACAGTACTTTAATACGTTGAGGCTTAAATGTCAGGTTTTTGCAGTAATTTCACAGAAATTTTTGATGTGGACTGGTATATTTCAACTCTTGCAAAAGATGTCAAGATTATAAAATATCCTCCCACAATCGGAGGAGATGTTGTCATGAATCCTTATAGGATGCGGGTTCCAAGGAAATGTACTGCAAAATGCTACCAAAATCGAGTGCTGCCAGCTCTTTTGAAAAAACATGTAAGTACTAATATTATCGTATTGTCTCTTCTAGATATTAGCCCCTCAAATCTTCAATAATTCTATATTTGTGCCACATGTCTTTGAAATTGTTTATAAGTCCCTCAAATCGTAAGTGGTCTTGCAAATTGGTCCATCAATGACCAAACTGCCCTTACCTTTCGTTTCCCACCAAAACCACGGCGATCACAAAAACATAAGGTCAATTTGGTCATGGAGCTACCGATTTGCAAGACCGCTTAAGATCTGAGGGGTTTATGTGCAATTCCAATGATTTTAGACTAATATGGAATTATAGAAGATTTAGGGGGCCTTATATCTAGAATCCATATTGGATTTTGTGAATATCAATTCCGAAAACACTGATATAGGTTATTTTTACCCTCTTTGTATGTTTTTCCCTTAATGGAAGTATCAATACCAAAAACAACAATATAGTCATTGTAAGATACTGCGTATACCGAATTCTATGTTTAGTTCCTAACTGCTTCTAAAAAGCATATTTATGTTTGAATTAGTAATCAATGCCATACAGATTTTGTTAAATAATGGCAGAAACCCATGCATGCATTCTGTAAAATTAATGATACCTGATGAAATTGCAGGTTGTTCAGCTGACTAAATTCGACTACAGACTCTCAAACAGATTGGCAACGGATCTTCAAAAGCTGAGGTGCAGAGTTAATTACCATGCTTTAAGATTCACAGATCAAATACAAAGAATGGGTGAAACATTGACACAGAGAATGAGGGAGAAAAGCAAACATTTCATTGCTCTTCATCTGAGGTATCACATTGACATGGTTATATGGTTGATTGTTAATTGCTGACTTACTGCTATGTTTGTTCTATTGTCAGAACCATATGCTGTTGTATACTTGTCAGTACTGAATCCGACATCATATTTCTGCTCGATTCCCTAGTCAAAATTTAAGCAATGAACTATATGGAAACAATGATTTTTTTCGTTCCCATCTAATGCTGCTGAACAATAACTGAATATTCTGTGAAACTAAAGAAAAAAAAAGTTTCTTACTTCAGATAGTATGATGGATAATCTTGCTTATAATCACAGATACGAACCTGATATGCTTGCCTTTTCTGGATGCTACTATGGAGGGGGAGATAAAGAGAGGAAAGAATTGGGTACAATTCGTAAGCGATGGAAAACATTACATGTAAGATAAATGATACTTTTTACTATGCAACAATACTACCAAATATTTCTCGTGAAACTTACACTACAAATTTTGCGCAGAGAAGCAACCCCGATAAAGAACGAAGACATGGAAAATGCCCATTAACTCCCGAAGAAGTAGGCCTTATGTTAAGGGCTCTAGGGTTTGGCAAAGATGTACACATTTATGTGGCATCAGGCGAAATTTATGGTGGTGAAGAGACGTTAGCTCCTCTCAAAGCACTCTTCCCTAATTTTCACTCCAAAGACACCCTAGCAAGCAAGGAAGAATTAGCTCCCTTCTCTTCATTCTCATCTCGTATGGCTGCTCTTGATTATATTGTTTGTGATGGAGGCGATGTTTTCGTGACAAACAATAACGGCAACATGGCTAAAATGTTAGCTGGCCGCAGGTATATATGTTTCCATATCATTGTGCTTGCTATTGAAAGAAAATCCTGTAGATTTACATTTCTCAACATGAATCGTAAAGTTACTAGTCAATAAAAGGACCAATTGAGATATACTGTGATAATCAAGCAGCCATCAGCTTGATCAACAGTGGTGCAAACAGTTCTAAAGGAAAACATATTGAGATACAATATCATTATATTCGTGATATTGTGGAAAAAGAAGAAGTCAGTGTTACTTATATTCCTACTAGTGACATGATTGCTGATCCCTTGACGAAGGGTATCCCAGCAGGTACATTCATCAAACATGTTGGTTTGATGGGACTTAGAAATGTCTAAGTCAAGGAAACTTTCATGAAAAATGAAAGGAGACGATCATGGATAATGGTTGTACTCGGCTTATTCACGTAGAGTGAAAATATGCATATATCTCACGGATAGTGGGAGTATGAAATTACATCCTGGGATTTCTTCCGTTGGGGAACGAGTCTTACGGAGAGAAGAACGTGGGATATCTAGAGAAATCTGGGCGGTTATTTGGGGACGGAGGGGGGGAAGGAACGCCTATAAATAGAGAGGAGTTTCTCTCCTCTGATGTATCAAAAAAAAAAAATCTCCATTCCGAAGTCCCCAAAACAATCTCAGCGATCTTTCCCTTCATTGGTATCAGAGAAGCATCGATCCCCAATTTTTCTGTTTCTTCCCCAACCACCCTTTCTCAGATCTTCCCAAGAAATCTCTCTGCCCCGTTCAACTCTCCGCACTCTCTCTCGAAACCGATTAACAGTTGAAGACTCACCTGAAGTCCGATCTAGCTGCCATCCTCCAACGTCGGCCCGCGCACACCTGCGTCCAGCTCCCTCCGTCGTCGGATCGCGCCCATCGTTTGCCAGCAGTCGCCCTCCTGCAAGACACCCTCCAGCCGTCCGCAACTCACCCGCACCCGTCAGATCCACTTGCCATCTCTTTCATTTTTTTTTACTGTAAGTCTATCCAAAAGCCCCTTTTTTTTCTCTAAGCCCAAGGTTCTTGACTTTAACCTCCTCATTTTTAATTATTTATAAGTTGGGAGCTTTTCAAGAGCTGCTCATTTCTAAGTCCCATCCGACAGAACCCCTTGCTCTCTGTTTTTATAAGAATATAATAGTGTATTATATTATCCCATTGTATTAGGCTTTTTTGTGAAGATTTATTTTGTTCGTTTCAAAATTTGTGCCTGTTTAAAAAAAAAGGACAGGGATTTTGTGTCTGATTATTTGGAAAATATTTTTTTTTACATGGTTCTTTATCTGTTTAATTTGTTGTGAGGCTAGTAGTATTGTATAATTTGCTTGCATATTCATACAAGAACCTCAATTTGCTATTTTTATAGTTTTTATAAATACTACAGTTAGAAAATTCTAATTTTTTAATTAATCTTTGCTTAACTTTGATAATAGTCAGCATTTATTGAAATTAACAGTTTATTTATTACCTTGGGAATTAATCTTATATATATAGTTAATCTTGTTGTTAATAAAATAATAATAATAATAATCATCATTACATTTCATCATTATAGTCACTGTACAATTTTTTTAAAAACCTTTTATTTATAGTTGTTTTAGTATCAATTTATTAAGTTTTTTTTTAAGTTATTTTTTTTTGCAATCTGAAATCAATTCCATTTGAAATATCATACAGCTTAATTATCGTCATGGCTAGTAAGTTGATTGCATCTGAACTGGCAAAGATAGAACGCCTTAATGGTTCCAACTATGATATGTGGCATAGGAAGATTAAGTACGGACTTATCCATGACAATCTAGATAGTGTCCTAGATGTTTCTGCACCAACTCTTGGTGATGATCCCACTGACGCTCAGAAAAGGGAGCTTGATCAGTGGCAGCTTAAGGACAATAAGGCTAAAAGCCTGATGTTAATGTTCATGGAGGATAGTTTAATCAAAATTTTTGAAAACTATAATACGGCTAAGGAAATGTGGCTTGCAATTAAAGAGAAGTATGACACTACCTCTGAGGTGAACATACAGCTCTTGATGCATAGATTTAATTCAAGCCGTATGCAAGAAGGTGAAGATGTTACCGAACATGTGAACAAGATGATTGTCATGGCTAAGGACCTAGCTTCAGCAGGATCTGAAATTCCTGAGAAATTGCAGGTGGCAACTATTTTGAATAGCTTGCCACCTTCACTAGATATGGCTGCCACAACACTTAGGCTTAATGGAACCATTAAACGTGTTATTGACTTGCCAGCCCAGTTAGCAATGGAACAGGATTTACTAGCTAGAAGAAAAGGTTCAGATGTGAACCTTGTGCAGCAAGAAGAAGCAAATGCTGCTCACTATCGCAAAGCACAAGGAACTCATCAGTTTGGACCTGTCAAGCCTTCCTTCAAAGGACCTGGCCAGCAACGTGCTCGCGGTAAGAAAGGACCTCCTGGATCATGCTATATCTGTAGGAAGTTCGGCCACTTCAAAGCCAACTGTCCACAGGCGAAGAATAAGGGCGGTCCCAAACGCCCGGAACAAGGAGGATCCGGTAAGCGGGAGTTCATCGGCGTCATTGAGTGCAATGCTGCAACTACTGACGCTGGTGGCTGGTGGATTGATTCGGGAGCTACCCGACATATTGCAAAGACGAAGGAAGGGATATGCGACTTCAAGGAGCTGAAGAAGGGAGATCAAAGGATTTACATGGGGAACAATACCTACCTAGATGTTGAAGGTATTGGTTCATACAGATTGGATCTTGGGGACAGCATCATGGTTCTCAAGGAAGTGTTTTATGCGCCTGGCATAAGACGTAATCTGATCTCCGTCCCAGCTCTCCTGAAGAAAGGCCTTGAAGTTAGGTTTTACAACAATAGGGTCTCTATTGGGAAAGACAAGAAAGTGTTTGCTATGGGCAAGTTTGTACCCGAACATGATTTGTTCTGTCTTTCTGTTGTAAAACCTGAAATTTGCAATAAGAATTCTGATTTGCTTTATTCCTCGTGTCTTTTATCTGATTTTGATCTATGGCATATGAGACTAGGACACCCTGGTAATAGAAAGATAGATCAGATAATTAAAATGAATTTGTTACCAAATCTGACAGGTGTAAGGACATTACCCTGTGAACACTGCTTAACAGGGAAAATGACTAGAAAGTCATTTTCTGAAATCAGAGGGCAAGTAAACTTTTAGTGTTAGTTCATTCTGACATTTGTGGTCCGTTAAGCGTAAAGACACGTGGTAATAAAGAATATTTTATAACTTTCATAGATGATTATTCCAAGTATACTTTTGTGTATCTTTTAAACAGAAAATCAGAAGCATTTGAATGTTTTAAAAGATACAAGACAGAAGTAGAAAGGAAACTTGGAAGATATATTAAGGTGTTAAGAACTGATAGAGGTGGAGAATTCAATTCAATAGAATTTGAAAATTATTGCATTCATTATGGCATTAAGAAACATACCACTATGCCTTACACGCCACAACAGAATGGTGTGGCTGAAAGAAAAAATAGAACATTGATGAATGCAGTGAGATATATGCTGTCATATTCTGGTCTCTTCAAGGATTTTTGGGGAGAAGCAGTATTGACTGCGAATTATATTTTGAATAGGATTCCCACAAAATCAGTCGAGTCAACACCGTATGAGATTTGGAATGGACACAAACCTGAATTAAGTCACTTAAGAAAATGGGGTTGTGTTGCACATGTTCTCATTCCATATCAAGTTAGAGATAAGCTGGATCTCAAAACCTTAAAGTGTAGATTTATAGGCTATTCTGAAAAGTCTAAAGGATATAGGTTCTTCCATGAAGAGAAAGGGGTCATTGAAAGTAGAGATGCTACTTTTCTAGAAAATCTAGAGGAAAAGGAACAAGTTCAAGAGGCAGTACAACCTCTGTTAGACTTAGATGATGTTCCCAACGATGACCTGGACATAGTGGATGAAGTAAATCATCCAATAATGGAAGATGAGCCCTTAAATGAGAATATGCCTATGGAAAATCAACCAGCTGAACCTGTCCAACCTGTCAACCTTAGTGGTAATAAAAGACCCAGAACAACACCTGCATGGATGGATGATTATTATCTGTATTCATGCGAACCATCCTGTTTCTCGGTAGACATTGACATAGATGAGCAAGCTGATCCCTTGAATTATGTGGATGCTATGAACACACATGAATCGGAACAATGGCTGGAATCCATGAAAAGGGAGCTTGACCAATAGAGAGAAACAATGTATGGGAGCTATGTGACTTACCAGAAGATAGGAAGTCCATAGGATGTAAATGGGTGTTAAAGAAGAAATATCGGGTTGATGGGTCTATTGATACATTTAAAGCCCGATTAGTTGCTAAAGGTTTTACTCAGAAGGCAGGTATAGATTATCAGGAGACTTACTCTCCGGTGGCTAAGTTTGCTTCTATAAGAATTATCTTAGCAATTGTTGCACATCTTGACTTGGAACTTTTCCAAATGGATGTCAAGACTGCATTCCTCAACGGAGAGTTGAAGGAAGTAATATATATGAATCAACCTGAGGGATTCCAGGTTGAAGGACAAGAAAACAAAGTATATAAATTAAAGAAATCTTTATATGGTTTAAAACAATCATCTAGACAGTGGTATCTCAAATTTCATAATACTGTTATCCAGCTTGGTTTTGTTGCAAATAAATTGGATAACTGTGTATATGTCATGAAGAGTGACAGTAGTTTTACAATATTTTCCTTGTATGTGGATGATATTCTACTTGCTGGAAATGACATAGAAGTGCTGAACAGAATCAAGTCAGCACTTAGTAGTGAATTTGAGATGAAGGACATGGGAGATGCATCCTATGTTCTTGGTATACAGATCCTTAGGGATAGAAAGTCTAGAATGTTAAGTCTAAATCAAGAAAGGTATTTGCATACGATACTTAGAAGGTTTGGGATGCAGAATTGTAATCCTGCGCCAACACCTTTGGTTATGGGAAAGCGGTTGTGTAAAGAACAATGTCCTGGAGAGGGGCAGAAACCGCTTAGTGTCCCGTATGCACAAGCTGTTGGAAGCTTGATGTATGCAATGTTGTGTACTAGACCAGACCTAGCATATGCGGTGAGTTTGGTTAGTAGATATCAAAGTAATCCTGGTCCAGCACATTGGGAGGCTGTTAAGAGGATTTTGAAGTACCTGAAAGGTACTGTGCACCATAAGTTAGTTTATCAAGCAGATTCGCTTGAGGTTCTTGGTTACTCCGATGCTGATTTCGGAGGAGACAAAGATGACGGGAAGTCCACTTCCGGACATTTGTTCATCTTTGGTGGTGCAGCTGTTTCTTGGGGTAGTAAGAAACAGGGATGTGTGGCAAGATACACACAAGAAGCTGAGTATATAGCCTGTAGTATGGCCACTACTCATGCAGTCTGGATAAGACGGTTCCTAAAGGACTTGGATCTCAATTTGGTGGATGGACCAATTGAGATATACTGTGATAATCAAGCAGCCATCAGCTTGATCAACAGTGGTGCAAACAGTTCTAAAGGAAAACATATTGAGATACAATATCATTATATTCGTGATATTGTGGAAAAAGAAGAAGTCAATGTTACTTATATTCCTACTAGTGACATGATTGCTGATCCCTTGACGAAGGGTATCCCAGCAGGTACATTCATCAAACATGTTGGTTTGATGGGACTTAGAAATGTCTAAGTCAATGAAACTTTCATGAAAAATGAAAGGAGACGATCATGGATAATGGTTGTACTCGGCTTATTCACGTAGAGTGAAAATATGCATATATCTCACGGATAGTGGGAGTATGAAATTACATCTTGAGTCACATCTCACGGATAGTGAGAGTGTGTGCTTGGAAAGTATTTGGCCATTTCGGCCAAGTGGGAGATGTAAGTGGGTTTGGCCTCATGGGCCAAATCATCACCCGACCCGGTTGTTGGTTCTGGGATTTCTTCCGTTGGGGAACGATTCTTACGGAGAGAAGAACGTGGGATATCTAGAGAAATCTGGGCGGTTATTTGGGGACGGAGGGGGGGAAGGAACGCCTATAAATAGAGAGGAGTTTCTCTCCTCTGATGTATCAAAAAAAAAAAAATCTCCATTCCGAAGTCCCCAAAACAATCTCAGCGATCTTTCCCTTCACTTGCCAACTTTAAATTTATGCCGAGACAAGTGTCAAGATCCCGTTCCTTCCTATATGATCTTCTATAGGGTTTAATTGTGGATAGACCCCTTGTACTTTCAACAAATTGAACTTACTACCCATGTAGTTCCATAGTTGCGGATAGATCCCCTGTGCGAACTTGTTGAACCTTTTTAGGGGTCTTTCCGCGACAGTAGATTTTCACTCAGGACCTAAATAGAATTCTTTCTGAGGGTCAATAATAGTAGTACAGGGGCATTATGTACAATTTGGCTAGAGTACTGGGGATGTAGCCGCAACTAACCCTTTTCTACAGAGGATCATGCATAGGCTTTGATGTCTACAGAGGATCTTGTATAGGCTTTTTTTTATTTTATTTTTTTTAATCATGTTTACTTCTGATCTTTTAACTATGTTTAACCCTGCAGGAGGTATTTTGGACACAAGAGGACTATAAGGCCCAATGCCAAAAAACTATACTCTCTATTTCTAAACCGAACCGAGATGACTTGGGATGTGTTTGCATCAAAAGTAAGAACGTTTCAGGTAGGATTCATGGGGGAGCCTAATGAGATTAGACCCGGTAGAGGTGAATTCCATGAAAATCCTAACGATTGCATATGCGAAAAGGGCAAAAGCTCCGACAAGCAAATGGAGCATTGGCATGAGTCGGATTATGGAGAAAATGTTCCACAAGGAAAAAGTTTGCAGAACAGAACAGAGTTAGATTATGATGTCTTGGTCAGAACAGAGGATCCTTTGGAGGAGATGTTTATGTTTTCAGACTAGAAAAAGTTAGAAGGGATGAAGAAAAAGAAGAGGAAGTAACCAAGAGGAGGGAGAGTTAAGTTTCTTCAGCAGTTGTTCTGCGATGCTTGAAGGAGGCAAAGGGAACTACAAGAGGGAGAAGATTTGCAATTTTCCATTGTTTTTGTTTTGATTTTTGATTTTTCTTTTTTTCCTTTTTATGCCTTTTTTGTGAGGGGGGGGGGGGGGGGGGGGGTCAATCAAGCATTTAAATGCGATCTTGAATGATTATATAAACTTGTAAATAACTCGGTAAATAAATATTTTTTTCCTAAAGCACCATTGCTGAGAGAATTATTTCGATTTTTTCCTTTTTGGCGTGAAGCATTGTGTGTATACAACTTGTGGCTCTTCTCCATCTTCCCCCCAACATTCATTTTCTTGTGTTCTTCATAAAATCAACAGAGTTTTTGACGGTTCTTTTGCTGTATTTTTTCCGGAAAAATTTGCAAAATAGATCTATTTTTCTAAATATTTAGCAAATCAGATCGTTTTGTTAAATATTTAGCAAAATAGACCTCTTTTTTGGCCAACAGGCCAAAAAGAGGTCGATTTTGCTAAACAGATCATTCGAAATATACGGGACTAGTAGTCTCGTATGATTTAATCTCCCATTAAATCATTTAGCAAAACAATCTGTTTTGCTAAATATTTAGCAAAACAATCTGTTTTGCTAAATATTTAGCAAAATAGGTCTATTTTACAAATTTTTTCTTTTTTCCCTTTTACTTTTCTGCTTTTGTAGGTATTAATATGTCAAAATTGTGCAAATAAAAAAAATCTTCTCTTCACTCAAATTTCTGCTAAACTATAAAAGTGAAACATACATACATTGTTCAGATGCAATAAACTTCTTATATGATAGTAATATCAATACACTTAGCATATCTGGAAAAGCTAATATTGGGTTCTAGATTACCTTAAATCCAATAATATACGAGTCAATAATTTCAAATATGGTTGATACTTATTTTAGGATCCAAACCCAGATAGTTTAGTTTGGACTTGCTAACTATTCCCCTTAGGTCCCGTTTGGTTGTATGTTTTTACCATGTAGGATGGAAAGTGTAAAAAAGTGGGTCCCAATGTCAGCTTTCATCACTTTCAATTGTTTGTTTGTAGTTGTGAAAATAGTGTAAAGTGATTTCATATGCTGATGTGGCTTGTAAAGTGATTTCATCAAAAAAAGACATGATTTTAGGAGAAAGCTGACATTGAAGTTTGGAAAAAATAATTCCAACCAATATGATCATTTGAGTAGGGACCACTTTTTACACTTTCCAAACAAACAATTAAAGTTTTATTTTGCAAACCAAACAAGTGTTTTATGATTCCAATGGAATCAAAAACAAACAAAGAAAATTATAAAAGTGAAATTGATGAGGTGGACAATAACTTTCCAAGTTGTGTCATAAATACACAACTTTACCAACAACAACCAAACAGCCCCTTAGGACAAGGGTTCAGGCGAAGAGAGTGTGATATACAGCAAAGAATGAGTGGGGGCCCTATATATGTTTCCCAAGTCACTCTCTCTTCATCCGCATCTCTCTCTCATTCTTACCTATTGTGCTTAGAGCAAAAGTCAGCAAAACCCATCTTATTTATATATTTGTATTTACATCCATATACTTATTGAATATAGATATTTAAAATCCATAATCTTATTTAAAACTGTATCTATATGAATAGATGTGTTTGCACGTCTATCTTCTCATCAATGAGAAATTATTACTTTAAAGCAATGTTGAAAATAACGATAACGCATAACGTAGCACTTAAGAAAAAACACAAAAAAAGTAATGTATAACATAGGTTATTTAGATGTTTCATAAATACAAACTATTCGTAATGATTTTAATGATTAAAATCATTAAAAAAATTAATATGAAGGAGCACCGGAAGAGTTACAGGAGTTAAGGCTTCATCTTCGTCGAAAGGAATTAGAATTTAGAACTTAGAGAGGCATTGGAGGTAGAGATGGTGCTAGGATTTTTCTTTGTCGGCTAGAGGAGATATGAGAGCTATGGAGGAACCAGGGAGGAACCTTGTCATTTGCAAAGATAAGGAGATAAAGGACGAGAAGAACCTTGTCATTGACTAGAGGTTTTGTCTTTGTTGAAGGCACGAGAGGAAGAAGAGATCAAGCGGTTAGTTGAAGGAGTGAGAGGAGGAGATGGAGGGGAAGGAGATGAGAGAACCGCTGGTGTTGATGTTAATAATCACACAGATAATGTAATTGTTGCGCGCAGCGGAAATTTCGGCAGCACTTCGGCAGCACAACAAGAGAGTCAGGTCGCAATAAGAATTCTTGTTTCTCAAAGGGAACAAGAATCTGAAGCCTAATATCCCATCAAAGTGGGATATTTGCTCTTCCTCTCGTCAGCTCTAGGACTGCGCGTCGAGGGAACCTAAAAGCTATTACAAATCACACAAATAGCGAGACAACCAATTTTTACGTGGTTCGACAAATTGCCTACGTCCACGGGGCAAGGAGGAGGAAGATCTACTAATAGAGGGAGGAAATACAACTAGGGTTTACAACCACTCACAATCTAAACCCTCAAACAAACTCTCAGATCCCTCACAAATATCTCTCACAAAAGGATGCACAAAACCCAACCACAAACCACAAGAAAAAATCATAGCCGAAAAACAATTCCTTGCTTCCCTCAATTGCTCCTGTAGCCGCAAGACTATTCCCCTGTCTTTTTTTCCTGTAGCCGCACAAATGCACCCAGCCGAAAAATCTCCTTACCCCACGGAAAAACCTAATAATCAATTGTTTATATATGGGGGTTCGTGGGCCAGCTTCGTGGGCTTCGGCTTCGTGCCGAAAATCAAAACCGACTCAAGTTCGGTTTTGATTTCTGCTTCGTACGCGGACAGAAGCATCACGTGGATGGGGGGGCCTACGTCCACTCACAATTCTCCACTTCGGTGAAGTTTTCTCAAAACTGAGCCGACACCAAAGCAACCAAATGTCCCACTTGTTGTGACCAGTACGAACGCAATCCACAACAAGTCGAGAACCCGAACGAGAGTCCAAACAATCTCACCCCCATCAAAATCAATTAATCCAAACCGGCTGCATCTGAAAGACTGCCTACGTATCCTCTTGCCCAAGGAATCAAGCCGAACGTAGTTCATCCAAATGGCCGCCAACGGCCTCAACAATCATGAATGTGCAACAAGTTTCGACAATGATCAAACTTGTTGCTCGGAACCACCTTAGTGAGCATATCTGCCGGATTATCCTTCGTGTGGACTTTCACAATTTTCACATCACCATCTTCAAGAACATCTTGAACGAAGTGATAACGAACATCAAGGTGCTTCGTCCGCGCATGAAAAACCTGATTTTTTGCCAAATAGATAGCACTCATGCTATCACAATTAATAGTGACGGACCTTTGCGATATACCAAGTTCCTCCAAAAGCCCTCGAAGCCAAATAGCCTCCTTCACAGCCTCCGTAACTGCCATATACTCTGCCTCCGTCGTAGACAAAGCCACCGTCGACTGTAAGGTGCATCTCCAACACACCGGCGCACGGGTCAAAGTAAACACATACCCCGTAGTAGACCGGCGCTTATCCAAATCCCCGGCATAATCCGAATCAACATAGCCAATGCATAGCTGCCCACCTGTAGTGTCCCGCTCATAAACCAAACCAACATTGAGCGTACCTCGAATGTACCTCAAAATCCATTTCACAGCGTCCCAATGACCCACTCCTGGATCGTGCATGTATCTCGATACCATGCTCACCGCCTGTGACAAATCTGGTCTCGTACATACCATTGCGTACATCAAGCTCCCAACCGCGCTCGCATATGGAGTCTTCGACATCAACTCACGATCTTCAACTGACTTCGGTGAAAGACCAGCTGAAAGCTTCAAATGGGCTCCCAAAGGTACACCAACTGGCTTCGTATCCATGCTAACATGGAATCGCTGTAGAACCTTCTTCAAATAAGCCACCTGTGTCAAACAAATCCTGCCCTTCTTCTTGTCTCTGCCGATCTCCATCCCTAAAATGCGTTTCGCTTCGCCCAAGTCCTTCATCTCAAACTCATTCGAAAGCTGAACTTTCAACTCATCTATAGCTGACCTGGAACTAGAGGCAACCAACATGTCATCGACATAAAGCAACAAATAGATGTACGCACCTCCTCTCAATTTGTGAAAATATACGCAAGGATCAAACTGGCTCCGAGTGTACGAATGACCAATCATAAAACCATCGAATCGCCTATACCATTGTCGAGGAGACTGCTTCAAACCGTATAGCGATTTCTTCAGTTTGCAAACTAATTTTTCTTTCCCTGCAGCTCGGAATCCCAATGGCTGAGTCATATATATTTCTTCATCAAGATCACCATGAAGAAATGCTGTCTTCACATCCAACTGATCTAACTCCAATCCATACTGTGTGCCACTAAAGCTAGCAAAATCCGAATCGAAGAATGCTTTACCACCGGAGAGAAAACCTCATTATAGTCAATACCTTCCTCCTGTGCATAGCCCTTCGCAACCAACCTAGCTTTGAACCTCAATGGAGTGCCCTCAATACCCTCCTTTTTCGTGTATACCCACTTGCAACCAATTGCCTTCCGCCCCTTTGGAAGCTCAACAAGCTCCCATGTATCGTTCTTATGAAGAGATTCCATCTCCTCCTGCATAGCCACCTGCCACGAATCAGCCTCCGAACTCTGTTCGGCCTCTTTGAATGTAGTAGGCACTAACTCATCGATACTCTCCACCGGAAGTGCATACGCAACTGTGTCGGCATACCGTGCTGGCATCTGTATGTTTCTCCTCTGTCTCCGGGCCGCAATTGAATCCTGGACCTGAGCTGTCGGTCCCTGATCCTGCACATCAGTACTCGTATCCTCCGTGTCACCGTCGTGCTCGCCTGGCGTCACCTCAGTTGGCACCTGCATGGATACTGTACCATCTGAACAATGTGGAGCTGCATCGATCTCCACCACCTGCGATATCTCCTCCGTCGGATCGCTCTCCACCTGATGAGAGCTGGGAAGCTTCAAGATAGAAGCCTCATCGAATGTGACATCCCTACTCAGCACAATCTTCTTATCCACTGGATCCCAAAGCTTGTATCCCTTGACACCACGCTTGAATCCTACAAATATGGCCTTCCTAGCTCGAGG